TATCAGCTAAAAAATTAATTATTATATGTCAGAAAATAAAATTATGAGAACTAAATTTCAATATTCTTAAGATAAATAATTATTTAATTCTCAGATTATCTTAATGTTTTAAATTATTACTTGATTTATTATTGATTACTTTAGAAATGATAGCTAAAAGTCTTTGTTGACTTATTTCTATATAAAAACAAAAAGTTTGTCAACCGTAGCAAACAATAAAATTAGGTAAAATATCACACAATATCTTAATAATAAAAAAAATAAATTATTGTAAAATTTATTCGATTAAAGAAAATTGTGGCTTATTAGGAAATCAAGTGCACAATTACATGATATTTAAAAAAAAGGAATTTTATATGGATTGTTTCTATGTAATTGTCTTTTGAGCAGCATCATTTTTATAATTGCTTTGATAAGCCATTATAATGTACTTCTGAAGATCTAATTCCCATTTAATTATATATGCCTATATCTTTTATGGTCTTGATTTCTTTGTCTTTATAAGTATAATTATAGTATAATTATTCATTGCAAAATAATTATCTCCAACTCACTCTCTCTAATATCGAAGTATAAATATTAAACCTGCTTATTAATTATTGTGTTTTTTGATGCGATGCATGGATTCTTGGATAAGCTAGTTCATATCAAACACAAGAAGAGGCAATTATTTGTTCTTCATTATGGAAATTAGAAATCTGTAAGAGTTTACACATTTAAATTATAAAAGAAATATCATGAGATAATTTTTGAAATTAAAATCGGTTTAAATAAATTTTTTTAAAAATGAGATGAACACTTTAAAAAGTATATTATCCATCTTGATTCTTTGATGGTAATAATAACTAAATTTCATTTGATGTTTGTGATTAATTTTTTCATATAATAATTTATAAAATAATTTGTCAAACAATAAGGAATGGGTTAGATTTGATTTATTTTTAAGTTTTTTTGGAAGTGTATTTCTTATTTAATTTTGCTATTTTACTTTTCAGCTATACAGATATCATCCATAATTAAGACATCAAATTTATAAATAAACATGATAGCAGCATTCCTATTTAAAACCATGCCAAATTAATTTAATTTTCATTGTTAAATTTAATGATAAAATTATTCCAATAAAATGATGAAGAAAAACAAAAAATAAATGAACTTATTTCTAATGCTAAGGTATTGATGTAATCTAAATTATTCTTAAAAGGTTTGATTACAAATAGATAAACCAAATAAAATTAGCAAATAAGAGTTAATAACATTATTTGAAGGTTTTAGTTTTCTTGGAACATTACTAATACCCATATAAAGAAGATTTTTTTTATAAGTCTCATTTAATCATATTTTGATATCCAGAATTATTATTATCTTTTAGATTAATGATGTATTCTCTCAAAGATTTTCGTTGAAAGTAATAGTGTGGAATACAAAATCAGATAGGCAACTAAATTAGAAAAGATATGATTAGTTTATGTCTATATATATAAAAAAGACATAAAAAGTAAATCCCAACTATTTGTGTGTAAAAAGCTTTAGATTATCTCAGATTCAAACTTTCTTTTAAATTTTAGAACTTTTTTCATGATTTTAACAAGTGCTTTAGCAAATGTCTAACCGAAAATAAATAAGCATGAATAAGGAATATTTCTGAATAATTTTAAGATAAAAATATTTGAATAATAAGTAACTATCAGTGCAAGAAATAAGATTACTTATGTTTAAATATTAATTAAGATATCTGCATTGACTCTGTAGGATAAAAGTTTTTCGTAAGATTCTAAATATCTTTCTGCAAAAATTTAAGATAAAAGATTATCCACTTAGATCATATCTAAAATTGGTTATATAGTTATCAAATTGCTTGATTCAAAATAGATAAATAAATTAAAAGGAAAGATTACATTAATAAATTTTAAATACGATTATTATTATAGTATTTCTAATGTTTCTGAAAGTAAAAAAGTTTCACAAAGTAAAAATTAAAAAATACCTAAGCCTCCCATTGTTATAATAGAATATTTTGCTACATTGTTTAGATGATTTGCATAAGATTCTTATTAATGATTTATGTACGATGGATTATGAAGTTTAATTTAATTAATTAAATTAATAAGAGGGGCATTATTTTAATTATAAAGTTGATTATTTAAAATCACTTCTAAGATTGGTGGTGATAATAAAGTGGTATTAAATTAGATTTCTATTAAATATTATACAAATGAAACATTTTGAAAAGGTTATTGAATAGGAATTAATTAAAATTGATAAAATGTTTAATTTAAGTCAATTACATGTATGTGTATTTATTCAGAGAAATCACATTAAGTATTCGTTTTAACCATTTAATCAAAATATATTGATACATATTATATTTAAAGAGATGAATTAATTAATGATAGTTTGAATGAAGGATATTTTTCATAAATACATTATGTAAATGAATACTATAAGTTTCTACAGATGTAATTATTTTCAATTTAACATTTGTTTGAGCATCCATCTCCATTATCTTAATTAAAATCATCACATTCTTCATCATTAGAAACAATTCCATCACCACAAATAGAATAACAATTTAATCGATTTAAATCCAATTCATATCCAAAAAAACATTAATGACATATCCCATTATCAAAGCAATAATTACAATTTTCAGAACATATATATAGGCAATTAATACATTATTATTATTCTAATTCACATATTTCATTTCCAGCTAAAATTCCATCTCCACAAACTGTTTAACATTAATTATTAATCATTTAGAATCCATATTCACAATATTCACAAATATAGTTTGTACATAATTGACAATTATCTTAGCACTTACCATCAGTTAGTTAATTATGTTCATTTTAATTTATTTAACAAATATAATCGTTAATTATCATTCCTTCATCACATTCTAAACATTTTCCAAATTAACAATTTATACATTCTTATTAACATTTAAATTAACATTGATCACATTATAGATATTAATCTAATTAATTTTGATTATTATCACATTCTTCAAAACCATTAATAATATTATCTCCACATATTGGTATACATAATGAATCTATAATATTTAAAATCCATCCTTATTAACAATTATAACAAATGCCTTCTATGCAATTAATACATCCTTCAACACATTAATACTAACAATTAAAACAACCATCAAAAGGATATATATTTCCATCATCACATTATTCCTATCCCTCAATCTATCCATTTCCACATATTATCCCACAACCTAGATCTTAAGGAAAACCATTTGGAACATCTTAAATTATTATTAAAATTTTACAAATAAATAATTCAAGATCTCTTATTCCATAAGATTATTAAGATTATTATTTTTATAAGGTAGTTGTAAATTATAAAAGTAATTACTATCTTTTATGTGGTAAGATTATTTCTAAGTTATATGCAACCTCACCAAAACTATTACCACATATATTAGTTATATTTGTCAGGGTTTAATGACTATAATTCCATATTAATTCATTATCAACGTATAATTAAGCATATTCAGAATTCCATTTATCTATAAATAGAAATCTAAACTTAATCTTAACTAAACAATGAATTGGCAAATTTATTGATTTTGTTAATCTACTATCTCTTCCTATGATATTTTTATCTCCTATAATTGGAATATCTATTTTAATTCAATTATAATTACTAGAACATTAACTTATTGATTATAAACTTTAATCAATAATCCAGCCTTCTTATTAAAAATCATTATAATTTAAATTTACTAAACTTTCGTAATATTTTAACCAAATTAAACAATCTATTGCTGAATCATCTGAAGTACATGTTTAACATCCATTTGGACATGGATATATATATAATCTAAATTATCTAATCCCCCACCATTCCTATCATTTAATTAATTATTACATCTAACTGACCATTTAAATTTGAAGTTAACAGAATTAAAAGTGATTTAAAATTGTGATTTTTTATAATATTTATTTAATGTATTTCTTCACGCCATACTATTCCAGTTGCTTCATTTCCACACAAGTTAGAATTTGTACTTGATGCACCAAACATTTATGAAAATACTTCATTCTAATCCAAATATATATAAAATTTTTCATCATCCCAAGAGTCTATTCTATATATATATATTTATTATTATTCTTTACTTCCAAAATTCTAATCTAAGTTAAATAGAATGATGAGGAGGCAACTAAAATAATTTTGTAACTCTTGTATTCTTTCCAAAAACACCATAACCTCCAAATAATTTCACCTCATTACAATATCCAATACTTTCTATTCTATTATTTACTGTCCATCCTAACAAATTATATTGATATACCTTATGAATCTATAAAATTATCATCAATAAAGGCTTCTTCGTACAAAATCTAACATCTGTATAAAGATAAAAGTATGCAAAAACAATAAAAACACATAATGAAAAATTGAATTAAATTTTATGGAAAAATTTATTAAACTGATATATCAATTGATATATCCTCCTTAAGTTTAAAATACATTAACAAATATAAGAATGAATACTTTTAAGACTCATTTTATTCAATTTTATATCAATAGAACTTAATATTAAGGATGTCAAAATTATGTAGAATGGGTAATTTTATTTATAAACAAAATAATTATATTATCATAATATTCTAATGTTTTCTAGAATTGAATTATAAATGTCTGCAACATGCTTATAATTAATCTCTTACTCAAGAAACGTCTATAAGTTGGAAATAATCAAATACAAGATTTTTTATATGTTTATTTAATCTCTGTAACTATAAAAAAATTGCAAAAATTAAAATAGTTGAAGTCTTTTTAACATAATCAAAATCAATCAATTTAATATGTACTCTCCTTCACATATCCTTTTCAATGAATATAAAATAAATTAGATTATAATCAAGTGTTCTTTTTTTCATATTTTCAAAATAAAATTTATTTTTAAATAAAAATTTTATTTATAAACAATTATTAAATATCGAAGAACATAGATCAGATTTAAAATTTAAAATATTTATCTACTAATAAATAGAAATATCATACCTTATAATTAATCATTCAAAGTTATTTTAGAAATTTGAAGTGAGTTTCTTGCATTAATAGAATCAATGACAAATTAAAAAAGGTGAATATAATAATAAATTAAGATAAAGATTTAATTCTTCTATCCGAATATAAATATTATTCGATCTTGCTAGAAAAAAATCTTTTTAACTAATTATTATTCCATATAAAACCATTATTTCATAATAACCTATAGTAGAAGTTAGACTATCATTAGTACAACTTTAACAAGTTTTACATAATGATTATCACCATCATATTTATAATGCATTTATTATTTTAAATCTTAAACTTAATTAGAGAATAATATTAGCTCCCTCTTTGAATTAATTATATTGTATAATGATAGTATTTTTGAAGAGTTAAAAGACACTCGTGATTATTTCTTTAGATCTTCAATATTTTTTGAAAATGTTTGAACTACAAGCATCTTTACATTATCTATAAAGTATTTAAAACTATATTAGAAGTTATGATTAATATGCTGATGCTCCTCTAATAAATGCTTTACAGCAACTATCCCAACTTTAAGTATATATAGTAACAACTTAATAATTAAAGAGTAGATTCATTTTTTTAAATTAACGCTAAACCTTAACGATGATAAATGACATAGAGAAGAGATTGACTGCCTATGAATCATGTTTGGATTGTTGTGGCAGTTTTTCATGATATTTTTTGAGAGTAAATATATTAATATAGAATTTTAAAGGAGTGGTGTATGTATAATTCGCTGTTATGAAAATCCATTCTTTGCTGTTCAACAAAGCTCTGTAGATTTAGTGGAAAAATTTGGAAAATATCATAGGAGCCTGCCACCAGGATTAAATCAAATCAATCCATGCAAAGTATTTTATTAATTGAATTTAAGAATTTGGTTATACCAGTGGATATGAGAACAAGATTATTAGATTTAGATAGATAAATAATATTAATAAAAGACAAAATATAAGTTAACATTACACATATATGTATTTTACAATAGTTGGTATTTAATTTAATTAAAACTTTTTTTTTAAATAGATCCTGTATATAGAGTTTCAAGATTGACACAATCTATTAAAGATATGACATATGCTGCCTTAAGATAAGTTTGTGGCTAAGGATTCAGAGCATAGAGTATAAACCTTTCAAAAATTTATAAAATAAGCATTTAATAATTTTTGTTATTTTATCATCATCGAAATATATACTCAATTTAAATTAATTATATAATTATGGATGATTATCGTATTTTGTTTTATGGAAGTTTATCAGATTGTCTATGGAAATTTATCAGATTGTCTATGGAAATTTATCAAATTTTTGGAATTATATAGGACATTATCATTCAGCTAATCCATATTTATGTTCAAGAAGAATGTAACATGATAGGGATTGGAAAAAAAGGTCCTCAAGAGTTTATTTTTTTTATGGAAAACGTATTCTGGTTTCAAAAAATGGCTTAGCTCTATTTCTTTTTGATTGGCTTTCATCGAAAGATGAGTTGGCATGAATTAATTTTTTAATCATAAAATTTAATACATATATCAGTCTAGTTGAAAAATAAAGAAAATCAAAATTATTTATCTTTAGAAAAGTTTTCTAGAATGATTAATAAAACAGATTATTACAAAATAATATTAACTGTTTATTTCTCAACTTTTTCCATTTAAATTGTTTATTTTAATTCTTCAATTAAATTAGGATAATAAAGCTCATCAAAAAATTTTGTTTGGAATAAAATAAAAATTAGACCAGTTATAGATCTCTACCATACATCAACCAAAAAATAGAGTATTATGGTTAACATATTACCTGAGAAATTTACTGAAATACAACAAAGGTATTTTCTTACTGAAAATTTCTCCTTTATTTACGATTAGAGATATCTCTACAAACTCAAAAAGTTTATCAAAAGTTAGGAAAGTCAATGAAAAATTTCCATAATTGGCTCAAGCAAATTATGTGTAAAATTTATTATCAAATTTGTTAATTTAAGGAAATCTTCCTTTATAATTATTAATAACATTCAGAGATGGTGACATTAAGTTTAAATTAAAGAACTAAGAAACAAGTCAGAATTTCATAGATAGAGTATTTAAGAACACAGATAAAAAAAATCGAATAATGATTATTAATACTAAAATTATAAAAATTACCAACTGCTTTTTTTTTTTTTTTTGATTTAAATTTGTTCTAATGTTTCATTTTTCAGGTTTAAAAATTTTGAAAATGTTTGAGAATATTTATTGTTTTTTGGTTGTAAGACCCTATGAGATAAATACAATATTAAATAGCTTTATAATATATATTTTATTATATCAACAAGCTATATCAATCGAAAAAAGACTTAATATAATCAGATTATTGCTTTTTTTCTTATTAAGCCTAATAATTAAAATAGATTAAAAATTAATAAGCCTAAATTGATAGAAAAGGAAAAGATTTTCATAGTAAGAATAAACATAATCAACCGATTCATATTCCTGTCTTAGATCCAAAGTTTGACAAGAAACAAAGATCTTTGTGAAATTAATGTATAAAAACTGTGAAACGTGTATTAGGACAAGTGGATTTAAAAAAATAATTTAGTTGTTTGAAAATATAAGAAAGTTAGTCTCAATTATTTGCTCTACACCTCAAATTATATTTGATAGAACTAAAGAATGAAAATTTTGAATTCTATCATGAAATAAGTCTTAAGCCAGGATATATTGAATATGGTAAGAGAAAAAACTAGTGTTTGAGATTAAAGAGCATTGAGAAAAGTTATTTAATTTGAATGGATAATTACTTTGATATCTAAAGTAAAGTACTATTTAAAGAAATATTTTAGTATTAGGAGATTCCCTTATTAATTCAAAACAAAATAATATCTAAGGTATCAAAATTGTGTAAGTTTCAAGTTCATTTAATCTTGATAATTCTGAACCAAAAGACATTTTATAGAACCTATCATAAAAAAAACTAATATTCATTAAAATCATGTGTCTCAAAACTATCAGAATTGAGCCTGCAAAAATACTTATAAAGACTTCAAATCGATTTATTGGATTTGTGAATTTGAAACTATTGAGATGTATAAGCGATCTTTTATATAAAATATAGAATTGAAGAGGGCTTCAATATTAAAAATTGGTGAGAAGTCAATTAAAGAAATCAATTATAACTTATTTTTTCGGTGATATAAGTATCTTAAATTCAAAAATTGTATAGTCAATAGGAGAAGATTTGTTTTCTATGAATAATATAATGGGACTTGTTGTAGGCTCAATAACAAAAAGAATGGGTTTCATCTACTTAAAATTACCATGTAAAACATCTTTATCATTAATCATAGACTCAGAAATATCAGGTAATTAAATTTCAAATTAGACAATTTATCTATTTATTGAATATTCTAATGTATTGCTAAAAGGTTCACTAATCAAACTTATTATCCAATATTCTGTACTGTAAATATTTATCTAGATGAAACATTATTTTAGAAAATTAAAAAAAGGATTTTTATAATATATGATATAATTTCCTTAAGTTGTCTGGACAAGGTTTTCCATTTTAAATATGATTATAATTCTAAAACATGAATTCCTTGTGCTAATAAAAGATCAAATTAATTTTCTTAAAATCCCACAAAATTAATGGAATTGCTTTCTTAAAAATTCCAAATAATTGAAAAAAACTAATGTTTGAAATTTAAGGTAAGCCTAAATTACTAAATAAATTAGAAAATCAAACATTAGAAATTTATTGTCAAAAATTTAATATGATTACAGAAGAATAATAATAATTATTGCAATCAAAAATTGAAAATTTGTTGAGGATTAATAAGTATTAGGTGATCAACAATTTTATTCCAAATTAAGGTTGTAATTAATAAATTTATGACCAGGAAAAGAGTGTTTGATATGAAATTTGATAACAACAAATAACATAGGGAGTGACATTTTTTATTTTTGAAAAAAATGATTGATCTACTTTATTAAAAATAAGTAAAATTCTATCGAATTACAACACCTGAAAACAAAGGATAAAATTAGTTTTCATTTCTGTATCTCCATCTATGAAATCTATTAATTAAATATCTTTAATTTCTTTTTAGTCTAATGACATCCATTCTTATTGTAAAGATAAGATGTGTTGAAAAGTTATATTATTGAAAATCTAAAAATAATTATTTTATAAATTTTCAGCTATGATTACATTTTCATCAGCTATTGTGAAGATAATAGTGGACTAAACCAAATTAAAAGACATTATATAATATTTTTTATTCTTAAAGAGTAATTTAAAATAATTAAAGAATTCTGATTGTTTAAGAGCAATCTCTCTATTTTTTCATTTTTCATTTTTAATTTAAAAAACTGACAATGGCTCTTTCATATTCACATTGTGATTCTTAAATTTTATTAAAGATTAAATAATTTAAAAAAATAAAAAATAATTCATTAAAATAAAAATTTTAAACTGACTTTATTACCTGTTATCATCATCTAACCAATTATTTAGACATCATTAAATAATTAAGAGAATCTAAAAAATAATAAATCCTTATAATTACTTGTAATTAAAAAGTTATTAGGAAATAATTACCATTTGCTTATTTAGTATTAGTTTTTATAAAGATTATTATCGTCTAAATAGAAGAAATATGACCCATTAATAAATTTTTCATGTTTAATCAAATGAGAAATTGTCAGATTTTCAATATTTAAATAATATGGATCAGAAAAAGAGCTGATTATGAGAGATTTTTTATCTTTCAAACATATATCCACAATGTATTATTTACATTATAAAATAGCCACTATTTCTGTAGATTATAAAGGAATTTTTGATATATTAATTATTTAAGATTTTAGATTTTCAGAAAAGAAAATAATTTTTTAAATTTTCTTATCTCTTTCTTAAGGTTTAATCATTATTTACAAATACATAGGTTATATTTAAACATATTTATTGGTTGGAAATTTGAGATTTAATTTCTAATTGTAATGGGGATATGCTTTAATGTAAGTATCAAAATTAAGATTGGTTTATTTAATTGGAATATAAACTCTGTATATAGTTATAAATCTATTTACTTGAATAAAACTGAATAAAGAATGAGAATCATCAATAGGTAGCTCTAAGAACTTATTGGTTTATCAAAATCATAGATAAACACAAAATAATCTAAATTGTTCTCCTAATTAATTTTGAAAGCTAAATGGGCCAAGAACTATATTTAATAGGTTTAATATTAAATAGGATAGTGTATTTAATATTCATAAGTAATAAGTTTTTTTAGATAGATTATTTTCGTTCCTTCCAAACAATAAATGTAAGATTAATTCAAAAATTATATAATATGAATTACTTA